TCAAACAACTCAATGAATCTAATGCTACAGGAGCTTCTCAGTGAGGAGATCTGGATGGTGCTAGCAGAGATGTGTTCTCAGCCACATCATGACTTCATCAGCCAATCGATTTAATGTTTACACTATATTTACATAACCCTATTACCTAAAGTGTCAGTGGGGACACTGATTTGATAATCTCATAATCTTATGTTATGTTTCAAAATAGAGCATAGAGAAAAGATCAAATGTCTGAGGAAAAAGTATCATTTTAAGAAAAGAATAATGGTAAAAAAAAATTAGCTTGGTTGGGTACAAAAAATCTTATCTGTAAATTGTGGAACAACTTCAGAAAAATGTTCCTCAATGTAAAATTGTGAAGACTTTCAATACATGATCATCTGCAGTACATGATATCATCAAAAGATTCTGGAAATCTTGAGATGGGGCCCAAAATCTATATTGGATAGCATCGGAAACAAGCAAGTGATCGAGTAAAACGGTAAACTTGTTCACCTACATTTGACATCAATGGAGGTATATTCAGATTTCTTCCTCCCCACTTTGTTCTGAGCTGTACAGTAATACTCTCCAGAGTCAGAGGGCTGGATGGAGCTGAAGGAGAGCTGCTGTTCATTACTGAGAGGTTTTTGTCCATTCTTCTTGTACCAGGAGTATTGAGCTGCTGGATTAGCATCACTGCTACAGGTCAGAGTCAATGATCCGCCCTCCCTGAATTCATTAGAAGGGCTCACCATCACTGACACAAACTTTGGAGCATCTGGAAAAGAAAATATATTTATACAATCATTTAGTATTTTGGGAAAATGATAAAATATTGACATAATGTAACATCGGAAAGTCTAGTATTTCAATCTCAAATTAATCTTCATGTTAAAAAATATTTAAAAGGACAGAAAAAAAACATCTCACTATGAAAGACAGAAGTGTGATGGGTGAAATATATGAGAATCAGAATCAGAATCAGAATCAGAATACTTTATTGATCCCTGGGGGAAATTATTTTTTGTTACAGTGCTCCATTTTAAACCAACATTAAGACAAGACAGACAATACGCTAACTAAGAATAGTACAATATATACATATATATACATACATACATACATAAGTCACTTATAAATAAATATTTGGAAAAGAAACATGTGTAGTTGTAGCAGCAAACAGTGTGTTAAGTGGATGCGTTGTACAGGGAGATGGCCACAGGCAGGAATGATTTCCTGTGTCGTTCAGTGGTGCTTTTCGGTAATCTCAGTCTCTCACTGAACGAGCTCCTGTGACTGACCAACATGTCATGGAGTGGGTGGGAGGTGTTATCCAACATTGTCTTTATCTTGGACAGCATCCGCCTCTCCGACACCACCTTGAGGGAGTCCAGCTCCATCCCCACAACATTGCTGGCCTTACGGATCAGTTTATTAAGTCTGTTGGCATCTGCGACCCTCAGCCTGCTCCCCCAGCATGCAACAGCATAGAGGATCGCACTGGCCACAACAGACTCATAGAAAATCCTCAGCATTTTCTGGCAGATGTTGAAGGACCTCAGTCGCCTCAAAAAATAGAGACGACTCTGGCCCTTCCTGTAAAGTGCTGTGGTGTTTTTAGCCCAGTCCAGTTTATTGTCAATGTGTACTCCAAGGTATTTATAGTCCTCCACAATGTCAACACTGACCCCCTGGATTGAAACAGGGGTCAAGTGTTTCCTGGTCTTCCTGAAGTCCACGATCAGTTCCTTGGTCTTTGCCACGTTGAGCTGCAGATGATTCTGCTCACACCACGTGACAAAGGAGTCGACCACAGCCCGGTACTCTGTCTCATCATCCCTGCTGATGCATCCAACCACCGCAGAGTCATCAGAAAACTTCTGAAGATGGCAGGTCTCTGTGCAGTGGCTGAAGTCTGTGGTGTAGAGGGTGAAGAGGAAGGGGGAGAGGACAGTCCCCTGTGGTGCCCCTGTGTTGCTAATCACCTTGTCAGACACACACTGTGGGAGACGTACATATTGTGGTCTTCCTGTCAGGTAATCAACAATCCAGGACACCAGAGAAGCATCCACCTGCATCGCTGCTAACTTATCACCCAGGAGGGTCGGCCTGATGGTGTTGAAAGCACTGGAAAAGTCAAAAAACATGACCCTCACAGTGCTCGCCGGCTGGTCCAGATGGGTGTAGACACGATTGAGCAGGTAGATGATGGCGTCCTCTGTTCCGAGACGAGGCTGATAAGCGAACTGAAGGGGATCCAGATGTGGTCTTACTATGGGTCGCAGCTGGTCCAGGATGAGCCTTTCCAGGGTCTTCATGATGTGGGAGGTCAGTGCCACGGGCCTGTAATCCTGGGGGCCACTGGGACGAGGCGTCTTTGGTACAGGGACGAGGCATGATGTCTTCCACATCACTGGGACCCTCTGCAGACTCAGACTCAGCATAAACAGTTTATGAAAGACTCCACACAGCTGGGGGCACAGGCCTTGAGGACAAGGGGACTCACTCCGTCTGGTCCAGCAGACTTGCCTGAGTGAAGTCTCCTCATTTGCATCTCAACCTGGTATTGAGTGAAGGTGATGGGTGGGGGAGGGGTGTCAGGAATCTCACAGGAGGCAACATGTGAAGAGAGAGGCTGGCACAGTGGTGTGGCTCTGGATTCCAGGCTGACTGCAGGTGAGGTTGTGGGGGTGGGAGCAGACACTGTGGTGTCGAATCTATTGAAAAACAGATTCAACTCGTCGGCTCTATTCTCACCTCCCTCAGCTCCCCTGCTGTTGGTTGGCCTGAATCCAGTGATGGTCTTCATGCCCCTCCACACCTCTCTCATGCTGTTCTGCTGGAGTTTCCACTCCAGCTTCCTCCTGTAATTGTCCTTAGCCTCTCTGATCTTGTCCTTTAGTAACACCTGGACCTTCCTCACCTCCTCTTTGTTGCCCCCTCTGAAAGCCCTCTTCTTGTTGTTGAGGAGGGCTTTGATGTCCTTAGTCACCCACAGCTTGTTATTTGGGTAACAATGAACAGTCTGAGCTGGAACAATGGAGTCGGTGCAGAAAGTTATGTAGTCTGTGATACACTCAGTAAGCCCATTGATGTCCTCGGCGTGAGGCTCACAGAGTGTTTCCCAGTCGGTCACCTCGAAACAGCCCTGTAGTTCCGCTATTGCCTCCTCTGACCACCTCCTAACAGTCCTGGTGGTCACAGGTTCCCTCCTCACAATTGGCACATAGCGGGGGGTGAGGTGAATCAGGTTATGATCTGACCTACCAAGTGGGGGGAGGGAGGAGGAGCTGTATGCATCCTTGACGTTAGCATACAGTAAGTCTAAAGTTTTCTCTCCCCTGGTGGGACAGTCCACATATTGTTTGAATGTTGGTAGTGTATTGTCCAGTGATACATGGTTGAAGTCACCCGAGATCACAATAAAGGCACTCGGGTGCTGAGTCTGTAGCCGAGCTATGGCAGAGTGGATAGTGTCACATGCAGCTGTGGGGTTAGCAGAGGGGGGAACATAAACAGCCACCAAGATGACGTGAGAGAATTCCCTGGGTAAATAATACGGCCTGAGTCCAACAGCACACAGTTCAGTGTCCGGGCAACAAATCCTTTCTTTGATTGTTATGTTGGCAGGGTTACACCACCGGTTGTTAACTAAAACAGCAAGCCCACCTCCTTTACGCTTACCGCTAGCGATGCTGTCCCTGTCCGCCCGAACAGTGTGGAAGCCTTCCACGGAAGCATTCTCATCGGGAATGACCTGGTGCAGCCATGATTCGGTGAAACACATCAGGCTACACTCTCGGTATTCCCTCTGACTCCGTACCAGTGCTGAGAGCTCGTCGATTTTACTTGCCAACGATCGCACATTTCCCATCACGATAGACGGCAGACACGGTTTAAACCTCCTCCTCGCTTCGAGCCTCCGCTGTCTCACCGTCACCTTTTTTCTTCTCTTCTGTCCTTGACCTCTGCATCCCCGATGTGTTTTCCTCCAAATTTCAGCTGGTACTTCTGCGGGCACTTCTGCGGGCCTGGCCAGCGAGCCGGCCGGCATCAGGGCGATCAGCTGATCTCTGGAGTAAACAGTCCGTGCGTGTAGGAGATGTGCCGCGGTCCCGTTCCATGATAAAAGTAACAGTTCCACGGCCACCAGAAGAACAAAAACTCTCTCAATCCACATGATTGAGTAAGAGATAGACAACGGAGGAAAATACAAGTCAGAAAAAAAAAAGAATACGTAAGAAAAAAGAGCTAAACTAAGAGAAAAGCAGGAGCGACTGTAACAGGCTGCACGCTGGTTGGCGCATGCGCACTAAAAGAAATTATGAAATTATTCCCACTCACATTTCACATTAATAGAAACATATTCAGATGTCCTACTTCCCACTGTATTAGCAGCTATACAGTAATACTGTCCAGAGTCAGAGGGCTGGATGGAGCTGAAGAAGAGCTGCCGTTCTTTACTGAGAGGTGTTCTTCCATTTATCTTGTACCAGACATACGTAGCTGCTGGGTTAGCTTCACTGCTACAGGTCAGAGTGACTGAAGTGCCCTCCTTGATTTCACCAGAGGGACGCACTGACACAGAGGGAGGCTTTGGAGCATCTGCAGGAGATATGCAGCACCATTTTAGAATATGGAGTCTTGTTTTGTTTTTTTTTTAAAGAATGAATCTATTGCAGTTAAATTCTATTTTTTCTGTTATTCACACCCAGTGATATAGTTATAGTTGTTGTTCCTGTGTTATGTGTAGGTCACTGATGACAGATTTCAAAACAAGTAGTAAGTAGTAAGTAGAAATAATGGTTTCTTTTTTGTGTTCTTGGTGAATGTTTTGTTGTCTGTCAGGAAAAGTTAGAACAACACAGACATTTGTTGATAAGATCCCTCCTACAGATTAAACAGTGCCAGATTATTAGGCACAGTGTGAGTGAATGAGAAATATAGAAGAAACAAAAGGACTAAGGACATTTGAAAGGTAGTGAATGCATTTAAGAAAACCTATTACTGAAGCAGATTCACTCACATTTCACATCAATAAAGATGGATTCAGATGTCCTCTTCCCCAGGTCATTCTCAGCAGTACAGTAATACTGTCCAGAGTCAGAGGGCTGGATGGAGCTGAAGGAGAGCCACCACTCCTTACTCAGAGGTGTTTGACCATCCTCCTTGTACCAGGTGTAACTAGCTGCTGGGTTAGCATCACTGCTACAGGTCAGAGCCACTGAACTGCCCTCCACTATCTCAGCAGAGGGACTCACTGACACAGAGGGAAGCTTTGGATCATCTGGAGGAGATGAAAATCTTTAAATTGTGATTTTTTTTCCCCTAATATTGAAGATTTTATTTCACATGTTACATGACATTTCATAGTGACACTGTGGAGTAAACTCACACACTGCAGCAGAGCGGTAACCCTCATGTCCTTTAACAGCACAGGAATAGCTGCTGTCATCACCTCCAACAGAGACTCGCAGAGATGTTTCTTCCTCTATTTTCTGTCCATTTTTGTACCAAACATATGATGGAGGATCAATTACATCACAGCTGCTGTGACACTGCAGCTCTGTGTGGGCTGATGATTTTCTTCTCTTCACCTGCAGGTCTGAATATGGAAGGAAAGAACAAATCGTCTTCATTTTAACTAAACCATCAAAGTGAATGAACACGGAAAAACAAACCTTCAGAGCAGGTTGAATGTAAGCAACATGGCTAAAAGCAAGTGACTGAAAGACAAACACAATATTTATTTTCAATGAAAATCTTACCTGTGACAGTCAAAGTGACTCCAGGTGAGCCAGTATAACTTCCATCACGCTGATTTGTTATGAATCTGAACTTGTACTGTGCTGAGTCACTCTCTCTCAGGTCTGTGATCCTCAGAGTGCAGTCCTTCTCATGAAACTGGTGCTCAACCCGCCCTGTGTAGTCTGGGTCTGTTCTCAAATCCACTGGCCCATAATACTCATTTCTAATAAACCAAAATCTTTCCTGAACCATGATTCCACGGTTCCTATTGTTTAGGTAACTGTAGCTGCAGCCTATGTCCACTGTTGATCCTTTTAATGCGCAGATGTGAGTGGAAGTGTAAGTCACTGACCAACCAGTCTGACCCAGTACCGCTGTAACACAGAGCACATCAGACACTACAGACACAATCACAGTGACATTAATAATGGAAACACTTGTATAAGGTTTCTTTATTCTAAGAAAACATGGAAACCAAAAAAGATGTGTTACTATGAAAGTAGAGCTCTCTCTTTTTCATCACACTGTCACACTTTATGTTCATGAGTTGGGATTTCTTCATGTATTAAGCTATAGTGAACAAAGAGACTGCAAGCCTGCAGGAGGAGATAAATAGGACTTTGTAACCTAAACGCTGTTTTTGTGAGTCCCAGATGTTCATCTTTTACTTCTCTTCTCTCTAATGAGTCTGATGATGAGTTTTACATAAAACAGAAGTGCTTCATGCTCCTGTTGCTGTATTCGTAGGTCTCTAACGGCTCATTTACAAGTAGCTAAATACAGAATGGAAAGTTATGAAAATTAATTTATGAGGTTTGGTTCCCTTTTTTAGTACAGACACTCATCACTGAATCCTTCAGATAAACTACTATCAGACCCACAGAAAGTTATATCAAACAGTCCTATGTCTACATGTCTATGTATTTATAAAGCTAATGAGAGATGCTGAATATGTGAAAATCTTTATCTGTGGAGACCAGTTCATTGGCACAATAATATCCCTCTTTAATGAACACAATAATTTTAAACATCATATTTGTAAACTTTTAAAGTAAATGTAACTCGCTTAGCCTTTGTTGTAAAATTTAGGTATTCAGTACCTGACACAGTGAGAAGCAGTCCAACAAATCCACTCACTGCTGCTGCAGTTACACTCATGGCTGCTCCTCTCATCTTTCTCTGCTACTTCAAAGAAAATTACATCAGTAAAAAATTGAGTTATTGCATTTTACTGTAAAAAAATCGATCAAATAAGTACATTAAAACATGAACCTCGACTTACCATAGAGAAAGGTGCTGTCTTTTAACGGTAATGTTTTTCAGTGATCAGTTCAGTAAGTAGAAGACAGAAGTCAAGCTGTTAAACTAATCACACTTCCTTCCTCTTCCCATTAATAATCAGTATGATGCCAGTAAACCCGGGACGCTCTGGTTTCTGTGCACATGTAGCCCCTTAATATTTTCTATTAAGTCTTAAAGGGCTATTTTACTGCGTTCTAATTCCAAACCTCAGCTCAACACAACCAAAGACATTTATAGAGAGACGAAGAACTAGTTTTACAACTTTTATTTATGTAACACGAGATCTCAACAAATTCAGTTTTACCTTCTTGGACCTGGGGCCTGTTCTTCGTACCTCGCTAAGTAGGTTAGCTGGATTTGATTGTTGACGATTTTGCGTGATCCTGGATCGTTCGGTTCCCCGAAGCTCATCCGGGACTTGCTGCCATAGCAACAGAGCCGTAAGCGTAAACCTGCTCGGGAGCAGGTTTACTTTATGTAAACAAGATTAGATCACGGCCACTCAGGTATGTCCGCTTCATTTATACGAAAGCAACAGCGATATTTTACCACTGTTGTACCATAAATAAATATTATCAATGTAACTAAAGATAATGCAGCACTTGATCCATTTATTGATTTCACACAGATACATACAGGTCATTTCCTAAAAAAGGGAAATGTACTATTAACATTCTATTACATGTATGTGATTATTACAGATGTAATTCATATTTCAGAGTAGTAATTGCAAATTACTTCGTGTAATCAAGGTGAGAGACCACGGCTATAAAAGCGAAGGTGGATTTGGGAAGCCTGTCGCAGTCATGTCCTGTCCGTATACGCGAGCAGCCCATTGCGGAAGGTGCAAGATTGATAAGGAGAGTTTTCAGAATTCAGCGTATATTGCGGGACAGACAGGATCCTTTAGCTCAGCGCGACAGTGTGCTCATTGAGAGATATCGATTTTCCCGTGAGGATATTATTCACTTAACCAACTTGTTGACGAGGGGGTGCAGGACCACCACCTGTCTTTTTTTGCTCTGCCCTTTTCTTGGTTGCTGTTATAAACAAACAAACAGATTATTCCAGGGTCTCTTTTCAAGAGACGAAAAGCAATATAAGTGATAAATATTACCATTCTGTAGAATATTCTTATATTTCACTTTTACTTGTTCCCATGTTCTAGTGGGTCCTGTTGTGGCTCTAATGTGAAAGGGGATGTAATATAACATATTATAATATTATGTAATATAATATTGGATAATATAGTGTGATATGATAAATTTACCCTACCGCCTACTGGTGTTGGCCAGAGGGGCCGATGGCGCGATATGGCAGCCTGGCTTCTGTCAGTCTGCCCCAGGGCAGCTGTGGCTACAACCGTAGCTGCCTCCACCAGTGTGTGAATGTGAGAGTGACTGAATAGTGGCATTGTCATGTGCTTTGGGTGCCTTGAAAAGCGCTATATAGATTCACTCCATTATTATTATTATTATTAAATTACTTACGAGTTTAATTTGTCAGCAACTTTCTGCCAGCCCTCTCTCCTTGCTTTTGCAGCCTTTGCAGTGTTCCCTTGCGTTTTAATTAAACTCTGAAACTCCTGAAATCCCTCAATCAAGAGTTCTTGCTCTGCTGCCGAAAAATACTGAGCGCGCTCCTTCGACATTTTCGCCGACCAATCAAAGGGTTGCCAATCAATGTTTCTACTATCGATGCGTAGCCCCTGTTAAGCCACCCAGTGATCTCACATTACTTCATCCAGCTATACTAATCGTCAACAACAGGTGTGTTCGGAGAACCGGAATAGCGAACTCAAAGTTGGCGCAATGTTTTGATCTTGGATGTGTCATTTGATCTCGGATGTAGTAAGCGAGGTACGAAGAACGGACCCCTGGAGTCCACATATGTGGACATCACATTTTGGGACGTCTAGACCAAAATACTTAATTTTTCTCTACAAGGGCCTGATATCCACTTACAAGGACATTATACTGCCACTGTTCTATCAAAATTTGAAACAAATGTCATATGTGGATCTCATTTTTCTCAAAAACAAAAGTTAGGTAAAAAAACAAACAAACTGTTAATTCTTTGTTTTTACATTTCTTTTGTTTTTACATTCACCTCCAGTCAACCCAGCAAAGAAAAATTAAAAATGCATGCCATGAAAGAGTTCGGGTCTTAGGAGGTTAAGGTAATTCATATTGGGAAACCTAAATGTACAACAACATACAAACTAGGTGGAGTGAGAGCTATCGCTTATCGATTGAATGGAATCAAAGTATTGATCTGAGTGGGTCAGATCAGCTCCAAACGAAAGGGTTAAGGAAGGAAATCGAGAAGCAGTTCTTGTGGAAGTGGCAGTGCGGTCATGGGAGTGTTACCTAAATGTTGCAACGCAGCCAGTTAAAGAATGTTAGCTACCGCTCACCGCTGGTCTGCAGGCTTTATTTAAATGGAAAACTTCCACAACAGGCAAAAAAAAAAAGCTTTTTGCTAAAAAAAAAAAAAGATTTAGAGCAGAAGTTTTTTGCACTGCATTTTAAAATGAAAACATATTGCATTTATTTACAATTAAAGACACAGAGCAGAAAGTGTGTTACTGTTTTACATCCACAGACACACAAGAAAAGAAGCAGGCAACATGAAGTCAAGTTATGGCAATTTTATTTGTGTATTTCAGTACATGTATTTAGATTAGAGTTTTAAAAAAAACAAACAAACATCCCAAGAAGAAGGATGGGGTGAAAGAAAGGTGGAGAGAGGGGGAAGGAGGAAGAAACTATTGATGTCCTCAAACTTGATGCTGCTGGGTCAGTTCTTTCTCAGCAGTCTGCTCCAGAATCCCCTCCTGTCCTCGGCTTTCTTTTCTTTTGCCTTCAGTTCGTTTAAGGTTTTGTTGAGCTGCTCCTCGGCATCTTTAAATTTTTCTTTCAGCTGCTGTTTGGCCAGTTTCACTTTCTGTTTGAGGAGCTCTTTAGCTTCCTTTTTGTGCTTTCGTATTTCTTTGAGTGCGTCTTTGCAGTCTTTCTTGGTCACCGTCATTTCTTTCTTGAATACCTTCACCTCAATTTTCTCTTCTGCAAGTTCTTCTTGCACTTTCATCAGTTCCTTCTTCATGTTTTGAGTGTAACTCTTTGTATCTTCCATTTCTTTCTTTGCTTCCTGTATTTTAATTTTCTCTTCCTCCAACACTTTTTGCGCTTCCAACAATTCTTTCTTCAAATTTTCAATCTCATTTTCTGCCTCATGTTTACGTTTTTTCTCCTCTTCAAGTTGTTGCTTTACATGCAGTAATTCCTTACTTAGTGTTTCAGCTTCAGCCGTTACATTTACAGCTTCTTGTGTTGCCAACTGCATTTTCCTTTTTTCCTCTTCAAAAGCTTCCTGCACCTCCTGTAATTCCTGCATCACATTTCCTGCCTCCTTCTTTGCAGTTTGATATTTATTTTTGGCTTCTTGTGCTGTGGTTTTCTCTTCCTCCAATGCTTTTTGAGCTTCCAACAGTTCTTTCTTTATGTTTTCATTCTCCTTTTCTGCCTGTTGTTTTCCCATTTTCTCTCCTTTAAGTTTGAGACCCACATGCAGTAATTCCTGCAATACTACTTCAGTTTCAAACTTTGAATTTTTAGCTTCTCCTCTTGATTTTTCTGCCTCTTCTTTTAATTTGACATTTTCAGCCTGTATCATTTGAAATTCGTCTTGCAGGTTAATCAGCTGTACTGAATTGTGAGGTGAAGCACTCGCCGATCCTCTTCTCGTTCTCCCTCGATTCATTTTGGCCTTTTAAACAAAGGAGCCAACGTTTTGTAGAGGAGTGAAGTGAAGTTTTCGATGTTTTCTTCGTCAACTGTCGTTTGTCCTGCACAGAGATGCTGTCTCTAGCTGTGTCTGGATACAATGAAACATGCTGTAACTAAGTGCTTGTGTTGCACAGTTCTACTGAACATTCCATTCCATGCATG